CCAACCCCCCCCCTTCCCCGGCTCCCTTTGGGCTCGCCGCGCCGTCCCTGGGGGGGGGGAGCCGCGCCGTGCCGACGGCGCTGCCACCGTGGTGGGGGGCGCGGCGCGCCTGCGCGGCCCCGCGCCGCGCTCCCTCCCTCTCCCCCGCTCCTCCGGGGTTTGCGCAGCGCCGAGAGCGGCGCGTGCAAAGGGCACGGGGGCGGGTGCAAGCGTGCAAAGGAGTGCGTGCATAGCGTGCAAGCGTGCAAGGGCGCGGGTGCATAGCGTGCAAGCGTGCAAGCGGGAGGGTGCGTAGCGTGCAAGGGCGCAAGGGCGCGGGTGCATAGCGTGCAAGCGTGCAAGCAGGCGGGTGCATAGCGTGCAAGGGTGCAGGTGCATAGCGTACAAGAGCGTGGGTGCATAGATGCAAGCGTGCAAGAGGGCGGGTGCATAGCGTGCAAGGCGCATAGGTGTGCAGCGGGAACGCGTGTGTGCAATGGGAACACGCGGGTGTGCAACGGGCGCCCCGCAACGGTTGCACGCCTATGCAACGGGCACGCGCCTGCAACCGTCACATGCTTGCGCAAAACACGCGTTCACGCCTGCGCCACGGGCGCCTGCACGCGGACAAAGCGGGCGCCTCCGTGTGCGAGGCGTGCAAAGGGAGCGCGCCCGCGTGTGCGAGGAGCACGGGCCCGCGGCCCCGCTGGATGCTCCCCGGGGCGGCTGGCGTGGCTTCGCCCACGCCGGCCCATTTCTACTTCCTAAACGCAGGTTTCGCTTCTCGCAGGCGTCGCCTCTCGCGTTTCCCCCTTTTCACCCCAAAAACACGCAACGACGACGTTTTCCTCTCATCCAGGATCGCGCTGGGTGCAGCAAATCCCCCCCATCCGCAGCAACACCTCAGCGCAGCACCCCCGCAAAGGAGATTTCAAGAAGATTTGGGCTTTTGGGTTTTGGTTTTTTTTTTGGCACTTGAGAGCCTTTTTTTTCATCCTCGCCGCTACCCGGTGCCCACCACTTCCTTCGAGCAAGGCAGGAATTCCCCAGCTGCGCGCTGGTTTTACCGCCCCGTGGATCTGCATCCCGCGGAAAAGGAGCGAGCCGGGGAAGGAGCACGCACGCCGCGGCAAAGCTGCTTAAGCGCCTCGGCGCCGGGCTGCGGCGTGGATTAGACACCTGCAAGGCTTAAGACATCTTAATTTGATGGTAGGGCCGCGTCCCCGCACCTACAGCGCGCCGGGGTCGACGAAGAACGGGGCAAAGCTTCAGCACGCAGCCGAAACCCCGCTGTGGTGGCTGGGATGGGGAGCAGAGCGGCTGCGGTTAAATGGTTTTAATATTTGGAGGTAAGAAAGCACCCAGGGAAGAAAAAATAAAATCGTTGTTTACAGAGTGTTGGTGGAGGCTGGGTGGTGCACAGCGCTCAGCGGGAGAGCACGCAAGGAGTAAGTGACACAGGCAGCGAGGCGGTGACGTTATCTTGTCCGGGAACCGGGACAAGTCTTCTGCGCCAGGTACAGAAACACCCGCGAGCGGGTGGCAGCGTTGGGCCCTTGGGGGACGCTTGTTTCTGGTGCCCAAGCAGCAGGTACAGGTTTTCTACCTCCTCGCTGACATCCGTGAGCATCAGACAACCATCGGTCTGCGTTAGCCACCACCACGAACCCCCGTCGGACACGTCAGCGACACACAAGCAGCTTGGGATGGGACGGACGGCCTCGTTGGCCGCTGCAGGTTGGCTTGGAGGACTCGAGCGACGTCTACGTGGCGGTACCTGCGGTAGGAATGTTGAAACTGGCCTGGGTGGAGGATGAGCAGGAAGATCTTGGCTGTGGAAGCAGCAGAAGGCAGGAGAAGAGATGGAAGAAGAGGTGGTGGTGATGCACCATGGTCGGCAGGTCCTCAAGCCCTTGGCTCGTTGGGTTGAGAGACAATAGCCAGAAAATGAATCCTCGTAACTCACAGAGAAGGAAGGATGGAGCGAAAATCACCGACAGGTACAAAAGGGAACGTCCAAAACCTAAGAAAAGCCTGTGAGCTGTGACAAGGATGCAATAGCTGCAGTCCCTTGTCCTCTGTCATCGCAAGGAAAGCTGGCTAGACCACCCGGCACGAGCGTCTTGGTGCTTGTGAGTTTGGGGGGGGGTGCGATGGTGCGGCCACCAGAGCAAAATCAATTTTAATTTAAAACCAAAATGCCTTCCCTTTCAGTAAGGTCTCTGACAGCGTTGCAACATAATTTCATAGAACCATAGAATAGTTTAGGTTGGAAAAGCCTTTCCTAATATCCAACCTAACCCTGCCCTGGCGCAGCTTGAAGCTTGATTTCCTACCTATCCAGACGCTTCTACTCACCCCGACTGTATCTCAGCCACATCCTACAAGACGAAGGCTTGGGTCTTCTCCTCCGCAGCTGCAGGACCAGGAGCGTTTGCAGGGTCCCCAGCAAGCGCCGGTGCTGAGGGTGGAAGAGGTGGCGTAACAGGACAGCGCCGAAAACCGTGCGCTGGCTGCCGGGCTCCGCTCCAAGCTGCCTTCAGCGCCGCGTGGCACGGAGCCCAGCTCCCAGGCTTCCTCCCCGGGGACCAGGCGCCCGCACCGTCTCTCCACGTGAGACGTCTGCCGGGAACGCGACGGGGGTTCGCACGCACGCAGTCTGGCGCTGCCGAGCGCTTCTCAGCATTTTGCAGCATGCTTCCGTGGACACAAAGGTGTCCTGACTCCTTGCTCCCACCTTGCAGCAAGCAAGCGACAGCAAAAAACAGCAAGAAAGACAACAGGGGCTCTTCCCCGGGCTAATTTTGCAGGCATAAAGCTGAATCCACGTTCCTTTTCTACCCGATCATCTGTGATGACAACAGCCGGTTTGTTTCTGTGCATCTTTTTTATTGCCCGAGGGGCAGATTTAAAAGGAGGGTAAATAAAAGACAGCGCTGGAGATGTGCCATTACGCCTCGCTCCCAGGCAGACAGGCCCTCTGCTACCGTCCAGAAGCCTTCAGAAATGGTAAAGCACCTTCAAAATAATGCAAATTCCCTTTTGTGTTTTCAAAGTGTTTGCCACGGCCAGGAAAGCTAGAGACATTTGAAAACCTTCTCACTTGCCTTCTCATAAAAGCTTAGACTCACAAGCAATCTGAGCTCGTTAGCAGGGATATTAGGAGGAAACAGCTATTTCACGGCTTGCTAGAATCATGAAAAATGGGAACGAAGCGGCCCCTTGCATTTACCAGGCTGCGGTATTGCGTGTGGAGGCCAGGGCCGGATTTATAGAAGCATTCAGGATCTTTAAAGGAATAAAGCCACTTCCTCGCCTGCCCAGGGGCTGACACAGCTCCCATCACCATGCACCGTTAGCGCCTTCCAGCATGAATTTGTTTTTCCTCCCTGGTGGAGAAAAATCTCCTTCACAGATGGAGAAACAAGACAGGGAAAGACTGGCAAAAAGCAGGTCTTTGCAGGCATGTTTGAAAGAATCTTAAGATGCTACCAAGCCCTGCTTCTCCTCCTCCTCCTGCAAGCTATCAGTCCCCTCTCGTAGCTCCCCAAAAGATTATCACGGCAAATTCTGCTCCAGGGACCGCCAGGTGGGAATTTCTCACTCAAACGGAGCTCAGCATCGTCTTAAACCCACCCGGGAGCACGTTGGTCACGCATCGAACCATGACGTGAGCACCACGGCTTGGGCAGAGCCAAACCTAGCTCGCTGTTGGATTTTTAGCATCTGCTATCGCCAAAACCGCAGAATCCCGTTCTTTTTTACCTCTTGACGTTACATATAGACAGGGGCGTGCCATGTTTCTATGCAAACCCAAATTTATAATTCCAGATGGATACAAATAAACCAAACAGCTACAGTAGCTCTTACCTTTATGCGTATTCCAGGCTGAGACTTACTGGCTACATTAAAAATTAAGCTATTTCCCTGTAGGCTTCAAAGAGCAGGATTTTTTTTTTTTTTTTAAAGTTCATTGGTGGTGAGAAATGCCACGCAAGGCTGGCTGGAATAACAAATACCTCTTTTTCAGGCTGATCTAAAGACCCTTGATGTCACTGCAAGGTTCAGGTCTTTGTATGGATTTCAGTAGGCTTTGGGATCAGGCTTGGGCCACAAAAAGGATGTAAGAGGTCGATGCAGCTTGAAGACTCCCCGTGCTTGTCCTCTGCAGCTCAAACCTGATGAAGGAAGAGTCACCAAGGGCTCGCTCACACTGCACCGCGCTCGGCCTCTCTCAGGGGCTATCGAAAGAAGTGGCCGCTCAAAGCAACTTAAGAGATTAGTAGAGAGCAGGTTCATTAAGGGCTATAAAATCCATGATCCAGGCCTTCTCCTTCAGGATGTCCACGGTATGGAAACGTCCCAGCAAGAGCGAGGCAGGCTCCAGGGGGTTCAAGCCATGCAGGTCGCCAGAGGTCATCGAGCAGTGGCCCATGAGGCACCTTCCTTGAACGGTTTTACTTCAGGGAGCTGCGGCCTCAGCTGTTTGGACGCGCTGGGGGCTGCACAAGAAGAGGTGAAGTTCAGCCCTGAAATTTGGAAGTGAAAGAGGAGCAGCCATGAATTTACAAGGACAGGATCAGTACAGGAACGTGACAGCCCAGACCCATTATGTCCATTATCTTTTTGAGATAATCCTGTTTAAAACATGCTTTTCATGCCTATTATCTCTTTGAGATAATCCTATTTAAAATATGTTTTCTCCTAAACATATTTCCCCAAGCGTCAAGCTTGGTTTCTCTGCTCAATCCTTGGGCAAAAATTCCATCATTTTCAGCAGGTGTTTGCTTAAATCTGAATAGTTGTTTAGCGATAACTCACGTACCACGCTGAAATGAAACAGGCTTCTCTCTTTCCCATTTCGTCTCACGTGCTGACGTTCGTTTCCTGGAAAACCTGGATGACGTCTGGCTTCCTCGCAAGCTGCTGTGCCAGCGTGCCCGTGCCATCCGGGGCATCCTGCAGCCCGGCACAGAGCAGGATCCGTGCGGCAGCCGCCTGCTGCCCAGCACACGCTGCATGCAGGGCTGTGGGGGAGACGAGATGTCAAGGCAGGAGCTGAGATCGCCTGGTGATTCCGGCCTTGGCCCGCTTCAGATGCAAACATCAGATTCCCAGGGAAGGAAACCAAGTCAGCAGAGGGAATGCATCAAGCGTGAAAAATGCCTTTTCCCAGTTGCAACACCCAGCCAAGCAGCTGCGTGGTGGTGCAGCAGGGCGTATCTACAGCAGTGATGGGATGCCTAAACCTGCCCGAGCAGGGGACGCGTCCTCTTCCGCACCCAGCCATGCTGGTAGAAGAACAATCAGCCCGGCTTACCCCAGCTATTACTCCCATCTTTCCCTCAGAGGTTACTAGTCCCAATCCATCGAGCGGTACTAACCTGGCTGAGCCAAAGCTAACCAGGTTTGCAAACGTATCGGGAGTATTTAAGCCAACTTGGTTCATTTTGACTGAGTCACGGCCAGGGGGTACCCACGGCAGGAGGGGGAGGCTGCGCGACAGAGCGGGCAGAGCAGAGAAGTCCTCCGGTCTTCTTATTGCTCTGTGTTTGGGGTGGATTTACTAGTGACGTGGAAGAGAGGGGCTTGAAACTACTCTGGATGTAACCTTTCTGGGCCGGGGCTCCCTGCCAGCTCGCTCCGGGATCAGGGAGTAAATCAGAAAGGTTTCCATGCACTGCATGCAGCAAAGAGCATCCCACAGGCGGAGGCTGAAATACCCCAGCCCAAGCCCCAGCTCACCCCGCAGACCCCTCCGACAGCCAGCACGTTGATCCAGCATGGCTCCAACACAGTTAGGCAGTCCTGTTACACTTGGCTTGTGCAGCAGGGTGAGACAGCCTTCTTTTCCTGGCTTGTCACAGACAACCAAGTTGGGCAGGAGTGTCGCTCTGCTGGAGGGCAGAAGGCCCTGCAGAGGGCCCTGGCCAGGCTGGAGCGATGGGCCAGGGCCAACTGTGTGAGGTTCAACAAGGCTCAGGGCCGGGTCCTGCACTTGGGTCGCAACAACCCCAGGCACCGCTACAGACATGGGGAGGAGTGGCTGGGAGCTGCCCGGCGGGAAAGGGCCTGGGGGTGCTGGTTGACAGCCGCCTGAACATGAGCCAGCAGTGTGCCCAGGTGGCCAAGAGGGCCAACAGCATCCTGGCTTGTATTAGGAATGGTGTGGCCAACAGGACCAGGGAGGTGATGGTGCCCCTGTGCTGGGCACTGGTGAGGCCGCCCCTCGAATGCTGTGCTCAGCGCTGGGCCCCTCAGCCCAAGGCGGCCATGGAGGGGCTGGAGCGTGGCCAGAGCAGGGCAGCGAGGCTGGGGCAGGGGCTGGAGCCCAAGGCTGGGGAGGAGC